CAAGGTCAGGGTCAAGGTCAAAGGACGGGGAACGCTCTACAGCCTAAAGTTACCGTCCGATTGGCTTGTAAATGGTCTCAATCGATTCCTCGACCCCGATTCCAGGTTGACAGCGATTTCCAGGTCACTAGGTCATGACCTTCAAGGTCAGGGTCAAGGTCAAAGGACGGGGAACGCTCTACAGCCTAAAGTAACCGTCCGATTGGCTTGTAAATGGTCTCAATCGATTCCTCGACCCCGATTTCATGTTGACAGCGATTTCCAGGTCACTAGGTCATGACCTTCAAGGTCAAGGTCAAGGTTCGCGAATATCAAACTAACAATTCGATATTCGGACGGGGAACGCAATAACTCAAGAACCAGTGAACTGATTTTGATGAAAAGACCCTCATTCGATTCCTCGTTCCTCATTGCAGGTTGACAGCGATTTCCAGGTCACTAGGTCATGACCTTCAAGGTCAAGGTCAAGGTCAAAGGACGGGGAACGCTCTACAGCCTAAAGTTACCGTCCGATTGGCTTGTAAATGGTCTCAATCGATTCCTCGACCCCGATTCCAGGTTGACAGCGATTTTCAGGTCACTAGGTCATGACCTTCAAGGTCAAGGTCAAGGTCAAAGGACGGGGAACGCTCTACAGCCTAAAGTTACCGTCCGATTGGCTTGTAAATGGTCTCAATCGATTCCTCGACCCCGATTCCAGGTTGACAGCGATTTCCAGGTCACTAGGTCATGACCTTCAAGGTCAAGGTCAAGGTCAAAGGACGGGGAACGCTCTACAGCCTAAAATTACCGTCCGATTGGCTTGTAAATGGTCTCAATCGATTCCTCGACCCCTATTCCAGGTTGACAGCGATTTCCAGGTCACTAGGTCATGACCTTTAAGGTCAAGGTCAAGGTCAAAGGACGGGGAACGCTCTGCAGCGTAAAGTTACCGTCCGATTGGCTTGTAAATGGTCTCAATCGATTCCTCGACCCCGATTCCAGGTTGACAGCGATTTTCAGGTCACTAGATCATGACCTTCAAGGTCAAGGTCAAGGTCAAAGGACGGGGAACGCTCTACAGCCTAAAGTTACCGTCCGATTGGCTTGTAAATGGTCTCAATCGATCCTCGACCCCGATTCCAGGTTGACAGCGATTTCCAGGTCACTAGGTCATGACCTTCAAGGTCAAGGTCAAGGTCAAACCTTGACCATGGAATCGGGGTCGAGGAATCGATTGAGACCATTTACAAGCCAATCGGACGGTAACTTTAGGCTGTAGAGCGTTCCCCGTCCTTTGACCTTGACCTTGACCTTGAAGGTCATGACCTAGTGACCTGGAAATCGCTGTGAACCTGGAATCGGGGTCGAGGAATCGATTGAGACCATTTACAAGCCAATCGGACGGTAACTTTACGCTGCAGAGCGTTCCCCGTCCTTTGACCTTGACCTTGACCTTGAAGGTCATGACCTAGTGACCTGGAAATCGCTGTCAACCTGGAATCGGGGTCGAGGAATCGATTGAGACCATTTACAAGCCAATCGGACGGTAACTTTAGGCTGTAGAGCGTTCCCCGTCCTTTGACCTTGACCTTGACCTTGAAGGTCATGACCTAGTGACCTGGAAATCGCTGTCAACCTGGAATCGGGGTCGAGGAATCGATTGAGACCATTTACAAGCCAATCGGACGGTAACTTTAGGCTGTAGAGCGTTCCCCGTCCTTTGACCTTGACCTTGACCTTGAAGGTCATGACCTAGTGACCTGGAAATCGCTGTCAACCTGCAGTGAGGAACGAGGAATCGAATGAGGGTCTTTTCATCAAAATCGGTTCACTGGTTCTTGAGTTATTGCGTTCCCCGTCCGAATATCGAATTGTTAGTTTGATATTCGCGAACCTTGACCTTGACCTTGAAGGTCATGACCTAGTGACCTGGAAATCGCTGTCTACATGGAATCGGGGTCGAGGAATCGATTGAGACCATTTACAAGCCAATCGGACGGTAACTTTAGGCTGTAGAGCGTTCCCCGTCCTTTGACCTTGACCTTGACCTTGAAGGTCATGACCTAGTGACCTGAAAATCGCTGTCAACCTGGAATCGGGGTCGAGGAATCGATTGAGACCATTTACAAGCCAATCGGACGGTTACTTTAGGCTGTAGAGCGTTCCCCGTCCTTTGACCTTGACCTTGACCTTGAAGGTCATGACCTAGTGACCTGGAAATCGCTGTCAAGCTGGAATCCGGGTCGAGGAATCGATTGAGACCATTTACAAGCCAATCGGACGGTAACTTTAGGCTGTAGAGCGTTCCCCGTCCTTTGACCTTGACCTTGACCTTGAAGGTCATGACCTAGTGACCTGAAAATCGCTGTCAACCTGGAATCGGGGTCGAGGAATCGATTGAGACAATTTACAAGCCAATCGGACGGTAACTTTACGCTGCAGAGCGTTCCCCGTCCTTTGACCTTGACCTTGACCTTGAAGGTCATGACCTAGTGACCTGGAAATCGCTGTCAACCTGGAATCGGGGTCGAGGAATCGATTGAGACCATTTACAAGCCAATCGGACGGTAACTTTACGCTGTAGAGCGTTCCCCGTCCTTTGACCTTGACCCTGACCTTGAAGGTCATGACCTAGTGACCTGAAAATCGCTGTCAACCTGAAATCGGGGTCGAGGAATCGATTGAGACCATTTACAAGCCAATCGGACGGTAACTTTACGCTGCAGAGCGTTCCCCGTCCTTTGACCTTGACCTTGACCTTGAAGGTCATGACCTAGTGACCTGGAAATCGCTGTCAACCTGGGATCGGGGTCGAGGAATCGATTGAGACCATTTACAAGCCAATCGGACGGTAATTTTAGGCTGTAGAGCGTTCCCCGTCCTTTGACCTTGACCTTGACCTTGAAGGTCATGACCTAGTGACCTGAAAATCGCTGTCAACCTGGAATCGGGGTCGAGGAATCGATTGAGACCATTTACAAGCCAATCGGACGGTAACTTTAGGCTGTAGAGCGTTCCCCGTCCTTTGACCTTGACCTTGACCTTGAAGGTCATGACCTAGTGACCTGGAAATCGCTGTCAACCTGCAATGAGGAACGAGGAATCGAATGAGGGTCTTTTCATCAAAATCGGTTCACTGGTTCTTGAGTTATTGCGTTCCCCGTCCGAATATCGAATTGTTAGTTTGATATTCGCGAACCTTGACCTTGACCTTGAAGGTCATGACCTAGTGACCTGGAAATCGCTGTCAACCTGGAATCGGGGTCGAGGAATCGATTGAGACCATTTACAAGCCAATCGGACGGTAACTTTAGGCTGTAGAGCGTTCCCCGTCCTTTGACCTTGACCTTGACCTTGAAGGTCATGACCTAGTGACCTGGAAATCGCTGTCAACCTGGAATCGGGGTCGAAGAATCGATTGAGACCATTTATAAGTCAATCGGACGGTAACTTAAGGCTGTAGAGCGTTCCCCGTCCTTTGACCTTGACCCTGACCTTGAAGGTCATGACCTAGTGACCTGGAAATCGCTGTCAACCTGCAATAAGGAACGAGGAATCGAATGAGGGCATTTTCATCAAAATCGGTTCACTGGTTCTTAAGTTATTGCGTTCCCCGTCCGAATATCGAATTTTTAGTTTGATATTCGCGAATATCAATCTGCTGCTCAATTGATGGACGTCCTTAGATTAATATCAAGCATTACTATTTAAAGATATCCAATCGTCATCAATCACTAAAATCATTTCCACTTCCCTCAAAGCTCATTTATAAACAATTCACATTTGTATTACGTGCGCCAAATATGTCTACGCAAGAGCCTCCTTCAAAAAACCAACTTTCGTTTGGGATGAGGGAGGAGGTAAATAGTGGTGGTGAGATGTGAAATCAAGATGAGCTTGGAGGAGCTTGGAGGAGCGACGGGAACGATTTTTTGAAACGAGAGGAGGTTAGAGGAGCTTGGAGGAGGTTAGAGGAGCGACGGGAACAAACCCTTAGATACTTACCCATATGGTAGTTATGAGGCGTGTATGGTAGCAAATAATAGGTTCAATAACGGCGCAGCTGTGACTCATAATTTGCCACTTCACAGTGAAGAGCTAGTAGGAGGGCTAGGAGGTTGTTGAATATAATTCGTGTTTTATATTTGTATGAAACAAAAATGTAAAGCCGATAGTTACAAGCTACAATTTACAAGCTGTAAATAGATGTCACGATGGTGTCATATGCTATATGAACATGCACTGATGAGTGATTTTTAGTAGCTTTAGATCACATAGTGTGTTGCATGCCTCAGATGCCTGTCACTCGGATTCATTATCTTTATGCTTTCCTTCATTCATTCATTCATTCATTCATTCATTCATTCATTCATTCATTCCCTCAATCATTGTTGGTTATGCTTGAATAGTGTCCAGAAGAAATCTTGAATTTAAATACTAGTTGTAGTGTCATAAGGGTTTCTTGCAATTCTACAACACAACATCACATGGGACGACTGTAAAAACAGGGCGCCTGGGGCGATTTAATCAAGGCTCTGAAATTCACCGGTGACATTTAGCATGTAGTAGGCCCACAGAGGGGGAGAAGTTCCGAATGTCATGTGACCCAATATGCCCTCCGGTGCCCTGTTTTCACCGGCGTCCATCACATGGCTTCTGAAACTATTCTGATTGGCTCCAGCTGTGGACTGGATTACCATTTGGTGTTTGTTTTTGTGAGCATTCTGCTGATTTCCATTTTCTAAAAAATGGAAGTTCATTGCCGGAGACTTTACACCGGCCCAAGTCAGGCATGTCGGAGTTGCCTGGGCAAAACGGACTTGAGCTGAACCAAATTGCTGGCTGGGTTAGTTTCATTACAGCGTGTATGATTGGGGTTAATTTTGTCAATTAGTGCGCCTAAAATTTAGTGCATATTTCACCTAAAAAGCCAAACATTCATGCCATGATGACACTAATTGGCCGATGCGGCAATTGATTACCAAAACACAATAAACAATTATGAAATCCTTCCCCAGGTGGACTGTAGGGTAGGTAACAAGATATTCTTAATGGCCCTCTGAAGACAGACACGACTGGACTGCAGCACCCACCGCCGTGCTGCTCCTCAGAGCCACATCTCAGACGTCTCGGAGGTTTGCCGACACTGCAACCGACTGGCTCGTGAGCCCACCGACAGCTGAAAGCCATGGCCACCTCTCGTCCGCTGAAACCAGTCGATGTGTACGATATTGCCACGGACATCGGCCGCGAGTTTGAGGCCATCATAGATGCGTTCGGAGCTGGCGCACTCACCAACCTGGTGCCCAAGGTCAGTGCTCGCCAGATTGTCTCATTGTGAGTTGCTCATTGACACATTGCAGCTTAAGCTGAGTGTTTATGTTTCAATTTGAAATTATGTGGGTTAAGATCGATGTATTTGGTCCACAAATCGGATTTAATGCTGCTGGCTTCTACATACAATTTTCTTGTTAGTCCCCTACTGGAAGTGGTCCTTTTCTTCTGACGATGTGTGCCTATTTGTTTGCATTGATCCAGGTGATCCAGGCCCTGGAGCAATTGGAGCGGCTCTCCTTACAGCGGGAACAGGAGAGTGCCTCTCTGCACGAGCTGCGGAAAACAGTCGAGAGGCTCGAGGCCGAAAAGGCGGAGCGAGCAGCCGAGAGGCAGCGCTTTGAGAAGGTCAGGCAGCTCAGAAAAGGTTGAAAATTGAAAGGTACCTATTCAACCAACTATGAGAGGAATGCTTTTGGTACTTGAGATATTGCTTTTCTTCATTACTTGTTGATAGTGATTTGTGTTCCGACTTGGCCTGCCGAAAAATTTATTGGAATTATTCTCTGTCGATATTTGCCACTGAAATTTATAACGCCATCTTTGTGTTGGCTGTCGCCAGGAGTTGGAGGAGTTTGAGGAGCGCACGCGCGAAGAGACTCAGAAGCTGGTTTCCATGGTAACTGAGCTGCAGACGGAGAACCGGCGGATGCTGGAGCGGCGCGAGGCCGAGCGCAATGGAGACGCCTCCAGACAGACGGGTACGGGGCGGGTAGATGTTAGACGGGCGGCCCCGGATCGTATGGATTTTAGGTGGACGGGTGCGGGCCAGAGAGACAGTACGGGGCTGATAGATGCGCTTTGGGGATAGGACGCTACGCATATTTGACTGGTGGTTATGAATTGTGTGGCTAACGGATACAGCTTGTAAGTTGTATGTACATGTATACAGCAAATATAATACTGATGGTTCACGGCCATGTATTGCATCGGGTGGACACATTTGGCAGACAGACAACATATAACGATATCCAAAGATCGTGGGTTATTTTTCGGGACCGTCATTGTTTCATTGTGTCTCACTGTACCCTCAGGCACGGACGAAGCGGAGGGGGAGATCGATATGAAGGTGCTGTTCAATCTGAAGGCGGTCATCGACAGACAGAGGGACGACCTCACTGCCAAGGACGCGCAGCTGCACGAGAGGAACTCGGAGATCGAAAAGGTACGGTTGATGAGGGGACGGGCGACAGCATGATGGGTGCTAGTGGTCTCATCCAAGGTTAAGTTGGTAAGTTTGCTACCATGGAGCAAAATACACTCGAGGACCGTTTTGTCTGATTGTTCTCGTAATAAGTGCATGAGTGCTTTTCGGTGAAATGTCTTCCTTTTAGGCTGGTCGTTTCTGTTAGAACGATCGATGAGTTGAAGCGAGCATCAGGTATCTGAACCTCCAGTCAATTTGGTCGTGTTTTGTGTGCAGTTCCAGGCGGACTTGGACCGTATGAAGAAGCAGGTGCGTGAGCAGCGGCGTCGCCAGCGCGCGGCCTCCGGACAGCAGCGACAGCTCAACGAGGAGCGGACGCTGCTGGAAGCTGAGCTTACCGACGTGCGCCGCCAGATGGTAGCACTGCGCCAGCAGCTGGGCACCGCGCAGAAGGAGAACCAGGACCTCTCTCTGTCGGCGGTGAGTGGCGCTCTGGCGCGCGGGGGGGGGGGGGGGTGAGGCCGGACGGTGGGACTCACTAGGCGGTGTATCCGATAAAGTGAACACTCTAGCAGATTACTCGTATATTACTCGTATCACTGCTAGCAGTCACCTGAGTCAGAAGTGTCGCAGCCTTTCCTGTGCGATGGAATCTCTGGCGAAGCCTTGACCACAGAATAGGTTTGTCGATAGATGACTCGTGCTCTGTGACCTGACCTGACCTTCCCTCGCTCCCCAGCAGGATAGCAGCCTGCAGAACAAGGTGGTGTACGACCGCGATGACCCGGCGCGGCCGCGGTTCACCTTTAACGAGCTGCGGGACATCCTGAACGAGCGGAACGAGCTGAAGGCGCGCCTTTCAGACCTGCAGGACGAGCTGGCACTCTACCGGCCCGGCGGAATCGACACGTGAGTACTGTAGGGGCCGTTAGGACTTAAGTAATGAAAAGGATTCAGGGTGTCTTGTGAGGCATTAAGCGATCGGTAAAGAACGATTCATTAGACGTTTTATGGAAGCTTTTAAGGTCACCTTAGATTCACCCAGAAGGTGAATTACCCACCAGTGATTGCAGCGATGATTATGTCTCCTTTCGTTAGCACGTTTAGCACAGAGCGATACTGACGGGGTGTTACGGCCGAAGCGCCCTTCAGAAGTCGTTATACCCTTCTCTATTGTGAACCCTGTGTTAAAAAAAGAATCCGTGGCAGAGTTGGCGATGAATACTGGCTGGAGAGAGCATGGTCCGTGAGATCCCTGATCAGCCTGTGAGTGCCCTATGTATGATGTGCTTATATTGAAAAAAATACCCTACCCCAAGCTGCTGTAGTGACCTCTGATGGTGTCCTGTCACTCCCCAGGTCGAAGAGCTCGATCCTGTGTCCTCCCAGTGACGAGTTGGACAGTTTCTCCAGCTCTGACCTCAGCTCGCCGCCCTCGCTGCAGAACGAGCTCGAACAGCAAAAGTGAGTCGGTTACCAGCCACACGGCGCACGCTGCTTGAACATGTTGAAATTGTGAAGTGATGAAGCTTCGGATATCACGAGACATGAGTACCGTCCCGGAGGGCAGAGGAATCCCTTTAGTAAGCGATTTGTTGCCCTGGAGTTAAAGGTTATAAGCCACGAAGCCATGAAGACTCGATGATGTACACAATGGCGAAGGAGTATCTCATAACCTTTTCTGACCTTTACGAGTTCGTTGTTTACAGGACGGTGGAAGAGGACCTGCCCGTGCACGGCCCGCTGCCCCAGGATCCCGAGGACGCCCCCTGGAAAAAGAGCTCCTCAGAGTCCGGCATCAGGCGACTGTGAGTAACCCGGTACACTGGGGATCCATTCGCAGAATATAGACAGCCCAGGGCATTGATTAAACGATCAGCTGATGTCTAGGTCGATGGGGTAAGGACTTTTGAACTCTCGCAGCTCCCTTTGCTTTTGCTTCGATTTGGTATGCAATTTTGCAGACGTTATGTCAGTGACATTGTGACATTTCGTGGTCGATTTTGGTAGACGATTGATGATTTCATAGTTGTTTGGTGTTGCAATGACTTTATATATTTATAGCGGGTTTTGTATTTTTCTGTAGAATCGTAGCTAAGCCTTTTATCAGTCTTTAGAAGGTATCATATGCTCAGATGTTTGTGAGATGGTAGCGTGGCCATTCTGCTTTTTACGTACCGTCTGTTGCCTTATTTTCCCCTCTTGAGTGAAGGTATAGAAGGGCGAATGATCGAGTCACGCTTTAGCTTCAGTATGCGGGATTTTCCGTTTTTTAAGTTTCCGCTTATTCTCTTCATTTATTTCTCTGCGCTTTATTTTCGCTGTAGGCATTTGAAGTTCCTTGCTAATGCCGCTAGGGGCTAGTTAAAGACTGTGTCTTACCGTTTTTACCTTTCAACCAAACGCTCAACGCTCAACAAATAGGGATATGATGCGGCTCGGTGCAATTGTATGGTCCCGACAATGCCGTGTCGGCACTTTCCTGCATTGTCAGCTGCTTTTGGGGCTATCGTGCACACGCAATGTCATCGCTTTACTAACACCACGGAATATATAGTCTATGACATATATGTCGTAGACTATATATTCCGTGCTAACACTGTTTGAGGCCCGGGTTGATGAAAATAGACATTTTTAAACTTGATCCTGCTTCCTGGGTAAAGTGATCCTATGATATCAGTTGTAACGCTTTTGTCACCGCGATCTTATTTTAACCCTTTGTAATATGAAGAGTCGCCGTTTAGTTGCCGATTTTCACCCTGTCCACACCTAATCCCGCTGAGTATGCTCGAAGCACCGTCGCCTGACGCCGACCGGCCGGTCGGGTGGGTGGCGTGTTGCAGCATCTTGCGTCAGATCCGGCGGGCCGTAGAGTCGACCCAGGGCGCCGTGTCTGACCTGCTACCGTTCGCCTGAGGTCAGCACAGGCCACCAACCCCCAGCGGCCGCCCGCTGGGTGCTTATACCGCTCCGGCTGTCGTAGAGTTGGCTCCTTGGCTGTCACTCTCTGGTCTTGGCTCGATGTGTAGATGGCATTCTCTTCCATTCATTGAGATCTATCGTTTGGCTGAGCTTCTTTACAGCACACTTTGATTATGCGTTTCTCAAAAATATTTTGTCATTCACACTGCCATGATTACATTGCCTTGGCTTTCCTCGTCGTCCTATAAGTGATCGCATGCATATCGGCGTAGGCAATACAACTGTTACGTGACTGCGGCTATTATTTTTTGTTAGAACAAAGCACATTATAATTGTCCAGAATAACTGAGGATCAATGTCTTGCACGGCCTATTTTAGGTGTTGTGTTTGGAAAGCGTGTCGACCATCATATAACTTCGCTTTCATTTTTTCACCACTCTCTTTGTCATGAAGCACTTTGCCATCTATAAATTTGTTATATGCACTTAATCTTAGTTCATTTCATCCCACCTTTTTGTGATAGTCTGTCGAAGGATGATTATTTTAAGCCGGTGGTCATCCCTGCAATAATGTGTCATCTCTCCATTTCCTCTGCCAAACTGGCTGGTAGCTGTTCTGGCGTGGTATCGCTGTATGGATCTGGTGCTTTACTACGGTCCAAACTCAGGCGGTCGTATTGACTCTCCATCTGTTCCCCATTGCTCTGTGGCTGCCCCGTCTCGGGGTGTCACCACAGGCCGTTCTGACGACCATAGGGGAAAATTCGGCGGATATGTGCTGGGAGATCGCAGGGATAGTTTTTGTTTCTGGCTCCGCAGTATGCAAGAGAGACATCGGTACGGGCCATTCCGGCCGATGGTAACTGTGCTGGTCCTTCTACTCCCCTGCGCGCTGGCCATGCCATTTCTGACGACCGACGTCAGTACCCGCGTCCTCTTGTCTTCTTTGTGTCTATTATCTAGTATTTGCGTTGTTTGTCCAATGTCCATTGTCCTTGTCAACTGTTTACTGTCCCTGTCCGTGTCCGTTCCCGCTGTCCGCTGACGGTGTCCGTTCCCGCTTTCCGCCGTCCGCTGACGGTGTCCGCGTCCGTCCCACTGTCCGCTGACAGTGTCCTCTCCCGTTTTCCGCTGACGACGTCCGTGTCCTCTCCCGTTTTCCGCTGACGACGTCCGTGTCCTCTCCCGTTTTCCGCTGACGGTGTCCGTGTCCTCTCCCGTTTTCCGCTGACGGTGTCCGTGTCCTCTCCCGTTTTCCGCTGACGGTGTCCGTGTCCTCTCCCGCTGTCCGCTGACGGTGTCCGTGTCCTCTCCCGCTGTCCGCTGACGGTGTCCCGCAGGTGGTCGGAGCTCGGCGGCCGTTTGGAGGTGGTGGTGCGTCGGCCGGCCGTACAGGCGGCCCTACAGAGGGCTAACTTCACTGAGGGAGCAGCGGGCGCCCGGTTAGACGGGGTCGGACCGGCGTGATCGAGTGGACGTTGGATCGGGAATCGGGATGGATGTGGAACTGGAACATGGGTGAATGTGGATATGTGACTTTGGTGGACACGGAGACATAAGTATTGAATGTGAACTGCGGAGTGATTGTTTGGGCGGATGCCGATGTGCACCGTTGCGCTGTGATGTAGGTGGAGGAAGGCTGTACTCGGACAAAGGGAGTGAATCCAGGCGGTGTCGGTGATGGATGCGGTTGGTTGCCGGATCGCGGCGCAGTCTGGGACTGTGATGCGAGTGGAGGTGACCAGGCTGCACCACCGTCACATGACGGACTTACCAGCGCAGTGTGGCCAAATTGGTTTAGCGTTAGGGGGAGGATGTATTAAAAAAGTCGTACGAGGATGTCTTTTTTCAAAAAAAAACTCGTCTTCAGCCTCATTTTAGGTGCAGTTTTTACAGGTAATGTGGAAAAACTATACCTGACATCAAGTTCTGGTGGAAAGTACAAAAAAAAAACTCCAAATATTGTCATTAAAGATGTAACAAAAACAACATTGCAAGCGCGACAATACGAGTCTGACGGTGCGAATCGTACATTGGAACATTTTTAGTCTTTATTCCTACACTAGGTATGCTTTCACGACAAAAACGTGGTGATGATGTAATTTTAAAATTTCTGAGGATGTCATTATACTTTTCAATAGGGGTGACTTTCCCCGCAACATCACCAATTTGGCCACACTGTACCAGCGGCAGAGTACCCGTCCTGGCTCATTTTTGGTCAGCTGGGAGATGCTGACACACTTCGAGAACTGTGGGAGGGAGTCAGCTATTCCACGCGTGCATTCGAGGTTTAGGATGGATGGTCGACATGACGGCAGACGGCGTGGTTCTAGGTCGGTCACAACGGAACCGGGTCCCGATTCTGTGGAATGCAGTTTCGCCGTCCTGATATTTCGCACAATGAGATGCTGCCGCGTTTTTTTTTTTTAATTTGGTTTCCTCAGGAATCATTTCATTGTATTCATTTCCCATTGTTTGGTTCTGCTTGCATGATTTCTGCATGATTTCTGCTATCCGCTTTTGGATGTTGTCCACATCTGCACATGCATTTGCAAGCTTTCTTTTTGTCCTCATACCGGCAGCATTTTTGCTGCTGCTCTCATATGCTATGCATCATTACCTTCTTTCCTAGAACGCGGTTGTGGCTCTAACTGGAACATTTCACGCTTATTCTACTTCACGCTTCAACTACTAATTAGCATTCATTACAATGAACTTGCTCTGTCAGTCTTCACCAACGTTCAGTCGAGTTACCGCCCTTGTCGTTCAGCCCACCTCCCTCTGACCTGACCTCCACCTGACCCCGCCGTTCTCTGCTGACCTCTGACCGGTCCGACGGGCGCCGTTGCAGGTTCCGGCGGCTGTTTTACACAGACGGACGAACGGACAGTCCGCGGGCCACCAGCACCCCGGTCAAACCCCAGACGCCGGGCGGGGCGACTCGACGCTGACCGCCGCCCTCCCGGCTCTCAGCCCGTGCTGAGTACCGTTTGACCTGTGTTTAACGGTGATTTTATCTCCACATGCGTGATCTGTTTACATCTTTATCGGTTTGCTAGATATTTATACTGTTTTCACTCGACATATTTACGCCCTGGCTTTGGTGGGTTTTGTTAACCTGCCAAGCTGGCTTTGGTGAATATTTATATTTGAATAGGTATATGCTGGGAAACCAGAGTTTATTGACGTGGATTTATATATTTAGCTCGTCGGTTTTTTCCGATGACAATATCCCCCAGGAATATCAAGTATTTCTTCCCTAGTTAGCTGAGTGGCAATGTTTATTTTTATCGCCAGTATATATTTACTCGTGTGCCGTATGAGAGACCTTATATGACAATGTGTCAATAGTTGGACGTTTGGGGTTGCGTGTGTAACGGTGTAGGCCTGTGCGTTGTGTCAAACTGAGCTTTCGTCAATGTTAACCCGTGCGTGCGCCGGTACCCCACAGTTAGCCATGTGTTTGCCTAATGTTAGCCCATGTACGCACTGCTGAGACTACTTACCTGCGCGGCTGTCGCTGCTCCTGCCGCTATTGTGCTGTTCCTGGACCCTGTGACGCCTCCCCGTGCTGTGAAGCCAGATCTGAGACCTCTGAACAAACCCTGCTGTAGGCGCTCGAACCCCTCAGGCGTCCTTATAGGTTCACCCTTCCTCACCATCCCATCTCCCTCACCAATGAGAGACGCACGTATGGAATCACGGCCGATCTAATCTCGTACACCAGCCACCAGTCTGTGGATCCGTGACTCTGCACTAGCACTCGATCTTTAGCGTCTAAAACACCTCATATCTTCACGACCCCTTCTCTTCCCGATCTACTGGTGGTCTAGCTGTATTAGACACCAACCCTCCATCCCTGCCCCACCATCCAGTCCCTATCCTGTGCTTCATCAGCCCGCTGCTAGCATGTGTGTAGCTGAGTTCGTGCCGCTGATCAGGCGGCTGAAGTCGATGGTCTAGGTGTCGCAGTTGCTGTGTAGAACGCTCGTCAGACGGCCAGCGGCGACCGTCAGGCGCTAGTCTGTTAGGGTTGAAGTCGCTGAGTATTTTAGTTTGAGCGCCGTTCGGAGATGCCAAATCGGACTGACCGCTCGTGGGGCCAAGGGTCGGCCGTGGCGGCTGTCGGCCGTTTTCCAGTGATGTCTCGGAGATTAGAATGTGGTTGGGGAGGGGAAGGGGGTTCGGCGGCCATACGTGTGCCACAGGCGAGTGTGTGAGGGGGGGGGGGACCCGGACCCCCTGCTGGTAGGCTAAATGGAGTTGTATCCGCGCGGTGTAATGATATGATGCAGCTGCTTTAGGAGTCATTACGCGCCGCAGCGGAATGCTTATAACAGCGCATTGTTATGTAAACTGGCAGTCGATGCGCAAAATGTTTATGATTTGTTCTTGCTCCGAGTCACTATGCACAACATATCTATATTGCATGCATGGTGTATGCTGGCTTTAACACAACAGTGCAAAGCGGTTCAGAGCCGGGTATTACCGGCTCGAACCCGGGGGTGACGGAGGTGATAACACTAAGGCGCGAGGAATGTGTAGGATCACGAGCGGCGCAGGGTTACATAAACCGGTAAACCGTGCTTAATGTGGTGTGGGAAGCGCGTCGGGCGGTCGCATCGGCTGAGAAGGTGCTCCCCTACCCTTCTAACCTAGGATATGACCTGTCCCGATAACAATGGTGTAATACACCGGAACTGATCCCACGTCCTACCCTAACGACGCTGTACCCCACCCCTCGTCTCGCGTCCCAATGTAATACACGTCTTTTCCGGTATAACTGGTGTCTACTAGAGAGAACTCAAACACGTGCTAGTGAGAGGACGAAGCGGCATATTACCCAGGCAGGATTCATTCGTGCCATTTTCATTTGACGAATGACTGCTCAGGAACACAAACGCGTCTTCCTCGATTCTGAGTATTCTTCCTCCATTTACACGAGACTGCCGCCAACACTAGCATAGCCAAGCAGCAGCATTCAACACATCCAACAAGCATAGCCATCGCACACACGCAACACAGTATCCCCGCCGCGCTGGACTAGGTCTCATCACTCACTGCACGACTTGCACAAGCAACGCGCAAGCACAGCGTCTCCAGCAAATCGGCAGTTAACGCGCACAAAAAGGCAGTACGAGAGGGGCGCCGGAGTACACAGTTACCGGCATAATCGGGCCCGTGGCATCACAATTAATAACGTACACGATTAAGTTCCTCATATCCGGTTCCTCAGAGGAGCCGGCGGGATGATTGTCAAAAGGAGCGGAGGGATAAGACCATACATTAGGTAGGCCCACACCCCAGCTAAAAGGCTCACTGATGAAACTACGCGACGCACACATTGCTGGCAGAAGTCGGAGCCCTGATCAGTGTCACATTTGGAATACTGGGCGGCAGACTGATTACAGACTTTGGTATGTCGCTGGTCTCTAGAAGTCTGCTCAGTCTGACCAGACAAGTCCACAGACAACTCATGGCCACGGTCTGATGAATCACCGAATCCGTGCGTCCCAGTGACGCCGAACACCAACGTAAATATACCGCCGTCATGGGACTAATAAACGCCCCCACATCAGCACTGGAGTACCCTAGTACCGCCAGACCGCGACATGGCCGACCAAAGGACGAAATGCGGCTCCATCTGGCACGGACTACGGCAATGTCTCTTATGCCAACAAGACCTCGGAAACAACTTCACCGAGCTGTCCGTCTAGCCGGTTTCTTCCTTAGCGATCTTGACTGGGTACAAGATCAATCCCGAAAGGCTTTTGATCTTCAGAACAAACAAACACACAGAATCCGTTCAAGACAATTCTAACAATAAACGCTGCATCACTACCTTCTACTTGGATCACTAAACGGCGCCAACGTCTTATCCTATCCCGGCTCGGGGAGCCCACTGTTCACCCTCCCCGTTTGCCACTCTGGAAGGCAGTCACTCCCTGCACTGCGCCCTCAGTCTCAGTCAGATCCTACAGAGATCAGTCATTTCTTGGCGTGACACCGTCCTGACAGCTGACCCTGTCTTTTGACCAAGCGCCTGCCATCCTAACACAGCGAAGAAGCTCTTGGTTTCCAAACTCGCACAAAGCAGCCCTTCCAAACTGCCTCTTCTTTTGGCTGCACCTTAGACTAGTCTCGACTTTACCAGGCTCTAAACCCGACCAATTATGACTAACGTTCACGAGAACGAAACATATCACCCCACTATGACAGCAGGTTACTTCACTGCCTTCCCGCTCCGCGTCCATCTTCCTTATATCGCGTCTCTCCAGCCCATCTTTCCACCCAGCCTCTCTCCATCGATCCTCTCCTCCCTCCCATCCCTAAAACTCTCACCTTTCCCTCTCCCCCTCTCAGAGCGCCTCCAACATCTCCTCGTGCAGCGCCAGTGTGGTGGTTGCCAGTGTCCCTCCCCTCCCCCCTCTCAGAGCGCCTCCAACATCTCCTCGTGCAGCGCCAGTGTGGTGGTTGCCAGTGTCCCTCCCCTCCCCCCTCTCAGAGCGCCTCCAGCATCTCCCCGTGCAGCGCCAGTGTGGTGGTCGCCAGCTGCCGGTCTTCCTACCCCTCCCCCTCTCAGAGCGCCTCCAGCATCTCCCCGTGCAGGGCCAGTGTGGTGGTCGCCAGCTGCCGGTCCCGCGGCTGTGTCTCGTCCCCGTCCATCTCCTCCTCTGTGGCTATCCTCCGCAGGCAGATCAGGATGTCGGCGGAGCGGTGGCCGTGCTCGCTGTATCCCTCAGAGGCCAGCAGCCGGCCGCACAGACGCAGGTACTCGTGACGACGCTGTGACGTGGAAGGGGAGGGATGGTCAGTAACGCTGCGTTGGGTTGAAAAGGCGGTCAGATGGCGTAATCACATCTAAATATGTCCACGAACTCTATGCATGGTAGACAGCAGAATTACATAAACTCATTATTCATTCGTAGGTATACATATTACACAACTGCTATTAATGTATTAATGTAACATAAGCACCAACTCTTACAACAAACCAACCTTTCCATTATCATCCCTATCTCCGGCCCAATATCCCCTAGCCAGTCTCACATTACCCAACGGGTCGCCGAGGAACGGGGACGGGTGGACACTGGGAGTAGGCACCTCATGCTACCCGCCGGGTCGCCGAGGAGGGAGGGGGAAGACCTGCCACGTCACGCTACCCACCGGATCGCCGGGCGACAGGTCGGCCAGGTTGCGCACCACGATATCCACCAGCACCCGCACGTCGTTGGTGTAGAAGAGCCGCGTGCTGGCCGGCTCCGAGAACAGATCCACCATCAGTTTGACCACCGAGTGGGCCGGCGCCGGCTCGTGGTCAAACACGCGCACCGGGTCCTCTGAAATGACGGAGGTAAGGTAAGGTCAGCCAGCGTATGGATAAGGGAGGGTGAAGTCAGCCAGGGTGAAAAATAGTGAGTTTAAGAAGTAATCTAGGCCTGGCAAAATATGTCACGGCAGGTAAGCGCATCGATGTCAGCACCTACTCATGATACACTTTATTGTTTATACCATAGCCCTCACTTTCAGACCATAATATATGTCTCGCAGTACCAAACTCGGTGTAACTCGGTGAAGCAAACACAGGAAGCCATCAACATATCGCCTTTCCTGCCAGTGTATCCCAATGAAGACACCATGCCCGTCTCGTCTCTCACCCTCTCTGTTGAAGAGCAGCATGACCTTCTCAGTGAAGACCCTGGCGCAGTCTCGCTGCCGGAGGGCGGCCAGCAGCTGGTTCTCGGTCGGCGAGCCGTACTGCAGGTTCAGCGCCAGCAGCACCGTCAGCAGTAGGTCCGCCGTGTCGTCAGAGACCTCCGGCGGCGGCCGCTCCAGCGTCTCCAGCAGGAACGACACGAACCCGGCGCCCAGCATCTCTGCCGGGGGGCAAGGAGCGGGGTCTGATTAGATCGGGGAGTGATGGCGAACAAGGATCCCGCGCAGAAGCGAAACATTTTGACATAAATGACTAGTCAGAAAGGGACTGGCAGCAAAGTTAAAAATGAGATAGTGAGATGAAGCGACGTAAGACTTCACAGTTGTGTTTATCGAACTCACCCATGTGACAGTGAGGCAGCTTCTCTCCCATGCAGAGAATCATAGAGAGCAGCAGGGCAGAGTGGCTCAGACGGATATCGTCCGTGACAGAGCTCTGCATATCCCTAGAAACACAGGAAAACGCGCCTCAATCGGAAGTACGCACCATGCGTCCTCCAAACAGCCCGCACACCGTAGGACGGCAGCCACCGAACAGATACACTCGGTGCCGCAGTAAGAGTAAAAATGAGAGCATGATATCAAGCCTTTATGGTGGAAACAATAACCTATTCCACACAATTCAGCCATTCCCACAGCCGTTCACATTGCCTAACTGCACTATAAAAAGAACAAAAAGAGACGTTTCATAAAAAAAACGTGGACCAATGACTGTAAACCAACCACCATTTCCCAGACGACCACCATTTCCCCACGCACACCGGTGACCGGCAGCATCTCCCTGACACAACTCAGTCCCCTGATATCCCCCTCCCCCCCCCCCGCCCCCCCCCCCACGGTCCACACGCACCTGGCCAGTTCCGATGGCAGTACGGAGCTGAGCAGCAGGCTGATGCAGTCCCGGTGCAGGCCGCACGCCAGTCCCAGCGCCTGGGTCAGCGGCTGACGGATCAGCCAGCGCGGCTCCATCTGGTACAGTCGGGCCAGCGCCAGCACCCCCGACATCTGGTCCGACTCGAGCGCCCGACGAGACACGCACGGGTCCGCGTTCGTCTGAGGGGGGAGGGAGAGGGAGACGTGAAAACATACCGGCGGTGTGACTTGGGATTGGGAGTGGGATAGATACAGTAAACCGACACCTGAATTGGGTTTCCCGCTAAATTGAAGTCGTTTGACCACCTCCGGCCCACCATCTGGAATCCGAATAGCCGTCCGGCCAATCAGTATCCATTGTGCTGAGAGGTCATCGATGTGATCATTCTACCGTCGCTGCCCGTCCGTCCATCCCACTGACCAGGATAGTGCTGAGATGTGCGCTTCCACAGCTGAGCCCTCCCCTCCCCTCCCGCCTCTCCGCCCGTCCACCCGACCGACCGGCGACCAGTGTTAGGTCCGACGTCCAGCCCACTATCCAGTATAACCCCGTCCGTCCGTCCGTCTCACTGACCAGAATGGTGCTGAGCTCCTGCAGGTACTCGATGATGGCCGGCTCGTCGCAGTGCAGCTGCCAGCTGCGCTGCTGCTGGTCGTCGGCGCAGCTGGTCATCTCCTCCAGGATGACGCGCAGCCGGCGGCCGTCCGGAGAGCTGAGCAGCTCGGCGGCGTCCCGGTCCGCCGAGCTGAGCTGCGAGAGCACCTGGTCCACCACCGGCTGACGGAGGGTAGAGCGGGGAGGCGGGGAAGGGTCAGAGGTGAAAGACGGGCACTGGTCAGCGTGTCATAGCTGAGATCACAGATTAGGGCTGCAAATCGCCTAAAACCAAGGGCAGGTCATTCTGTATTTACCCAAAAGGATTTATTTACCCTGCCTGCATGGTGTGTTAGCCTGCAAAGCTTGTGAAGAAAAACGCGTGCTTACTGCTTAAGGTAACCTGGTGTAATCGGTCGTTCACATCGACTGCCGACACCAATTAAGTTTGGCTGTGACGGAGGCCTGGTGTCGACGAAAGACAAACGGTCTCGAAATGTCTGCTCTCTGCATAAGTTAACTGAATTGTACATTTCAACAGCCCTTCCACTGGCACCGGCTCTCACCTGTACGGAGGGCGCCGCCTGTTTGAGGGCTCCCATCAGCGCCTGGACGGTAGCCTGGCAGGCCTGGTGGCTGGCAGAGGTGTGCTGCCGCACCAGGTCCACCAGACTGCGACCGAACGCCGCCGGCAGCGGCCGCTCCCGCTCCGGCTGCGGCTCCGGGACCGGAGTCGCCTCCCGGTCATCGCCGTTCGTCTGCTGCAGGGAATGACATATTACCGCTGAGGAACAACAATCGCTATATTTTGTACACTAGTTTTTAAAAAAGTCAATTAGTGCTACTGTCACGGAACGTTACCTAATGTTGAATCGAACGAAAATGTTTCGTTACTAAGAAAAAAGATCGAGTTTAACATTACAACACACGCCGTAGTGCACCAATGTCCGGCATTTTCAATCAGTTCCACGATCACATCAGACACACTCCACTCACCACGTGTTCGGTAGTATTGCTCTCGTCATCTGGGAAGAGGCTGAGCGAGGAGACGGGTCGCGCGGCCGGCTCCTCCAGCCGGTACAGCTGGTCGCCGGCCGTGTCGCGCGCGCGGTACCGCTGCGCGAGCTGCACCAGCCGCCGCCGCTGGACGGCCTGCTGGTCAGCAGAGAGGCTGCTGGACACCAGCCGGTCGCTGCCCCGCTGCAGGAAACCAGTGATGTCTGCAGTGGTGGCCTGGGTGGGGAGATACAGGTCACATCCAGTCAGAAATGTGAGATATCAGGGCATGGGCTTCCCAGTCTCCCCAAGAGTTTTCCAAAACATGAACTAATTAACAGGCACAATGTCTAGTATTTACTATTTTCAGAACAATTTGTCAACAGCAAAAATTTGTTGGTGGGATACATGCTATGATAAAAGTGCAATTTAAAATGTAAGTGATTGAATTGGTAGGTATAAGGTAGCTACCTACTAAAAACATGCCATCTTTTCAGCAATAAGCTCCATAGCAATTCAGTGGACAGTTCAGATTAAATAATCAAAGATATTTCAAGTTCACTCATAAAGACAGCTATAAAACATTAAATCATTTCTATTTTAGAAATGAAGCATGATAATATGGCTACGTAGGTAATGCCATTTCATTGGTTTAGCACATGGACATACAGGTGCATTATTTGTCCAGTTAGAATACAAAATGACCTTTGTGTGTACAAAAATAGCATACCAATCTATCAAAGTAATAGCTAGAAAATTATATACCTAGCTGCATTGTAACTTAAAAGGAAAATAATTTGCCTGAAGCCCTAATATACCAACATCTCATTACCATTACCTACCTAATTACTTATGCCTAAGCTATCTGAAAACAGAAAATATACTTACTGGAAGGTATAACACATAATTCATTGGAATGTATCCAACTTCTGCATCTTTGGACAGCACAAGCCACCATTCTTTTTCCTTATTTGGAGAATGAAGCGGCAAAAACCTATCACCCGCAGAAAATGACAGAGCTTTGGGATGTGGTGCTTGCAAGGGATATTTTGCTTTTAACATTTCTTTCAATAATGGCTGACCACCAGAATAACCAATATAGCATCCAATAAAATCTGCAGTTCTCAGACAGATTCAAAATTTCAAAACAAATTCAATCAAATTCAAGATGTCAATTCAAATTCAAGCATTGTCCATCCCTCTGGCCAATGCTTGAAATTCTTTCAGCATATATAGGCCACTTTGGCAGAAAAAAATAACCCAGAGAAGGTTGAATGCTTTGAAATTCAAAGACACAAAATATCCAGCGTTAGAAATCAACAATTCAAGAAAAATCGCCATGAAATGAATTCAACCTTCGTTAAGTGGGGCGCCACTAATGTACTATCTTCGTCAAATATGGATCAAATAAAATACATGTTCAAAAATGCTCACAACGACATCGATCTCTCCGCTATCCACAAAACGCACCAATGAGCAGTCAAAACTACAATTTTCTTTTCGTTTGCAGCCTCGACAGTCGAAACTGAATAGAAGCTGTTGTCTTCTGAAGTTGGTTGAAAGTAGTGCCACTACAGCGGGGCGCATTGGAGGCATAAATAACAAGATAGAAGTTATTTGGATTAGACACGGAAGCCGAAGGACGCATACAACCCATACAACAAGCTACAAGAGTTGTTTTATCAAGTTCCCTTACACGCGGACTTCTTAAATGTTTTGAGCACGCATTTTGATTTCACTCACTGAACAGATCAAGATTGGGCTCGCCGGAGGTGAGATAATTTGCCGATCTTTTTTTTTTCTTGCTAGTTGCTACACAGAAGACGTCGAAAGGGCTCAGCTTTGACCCGTTGAGCTGCATTTTTACCAATGCTTGCCCTGACCATAAACTCTCGCTGGACCCAGGGCCATAAAACGGCAAGAACAGGCCGCTAGGCCAGGTTTTCTTCATGGCCCCTAGGAAGGGCGGGGTGAAAGGAAAAGGAAAAGGAAAAGTGGCCCTTTTCCTTTAAAGTCTCAGGTCCAGGGATGCTGAGCCGGAGTCGGTCGGAGTCGACAGCTATGATCGGAGTCGGAGTCGGACTTCGGAGTCGATTTTTTAAGCCAGAGTGGGAGTCGAAGTCGGAGTCACTGAAAATCCTTCAACTCCGTAAACATGCCTGGACTGCGGAGCTGGAGTGGGAGTCGACGACAGTTCTGCCCGGAGTCGGAGTCGGAGTCGATTTTTGGAAGCCGGTGTCGGAGTCACCGAAAATCCATCGAGCAGTTCTGCTCAAGTCAACCGGTGACTCCTGAAATCAGGTCAAATGCCCCAAGATAGGATCAGGTTTTTGGTAAATAAGTTCGTCAAAAACGGTCGCAGAGTTGCAATTTGGGCACGATCGTGCTCGTCATGATCAGGCGCGTAGAATGGCGTGCTTTTTTGTTCGGAAAAGGTCAACTAAGGGTGTTGACCTGTGACCTGAGGTCAAGGTCAGGTCATAGCTGCCAGGCACGTACCCAGGATTTCGCCCAGGAGGGGGCCACCTGCTTTCGAAGGGGCCCCCTACAGTGAACAGGGCCCCCAGGTTCCCCGGGGGCCCTCGGGAGTCATGAAGAACCTTTCGATGGTGGGGGGGGGGGGGGGCAAAGCGGGTCCGGTCTCTCCTGCAGACGTAGGTGAGAAAACGCCACGTGTGCTGGGAAAACGCAATTCAGTTCTTTACAACCTAATGTAGCATTTGGTTGTGATTTCTCGCGTTCAACTTCATCAAAGTCAATTAAAACGGTCTCTGTAACGGTCTAAGCCTTGAGAAAATGTGGAAAATTGGAAAGTAAAAATATTTTTGCTTGAGGAGTGTGCATGAAACGCACGGCATTTTATGAACGAGCGCCTCAATTACTGAACATCCTCCAATTCCGGATATGTAGGTATATAATATAATAGTGGGGAATAAATGTCTCGTTATCGGAATTCCACTATCTGGCAACTAGCCCTATGTAAACGCGGCTATTATATGTTTCACTAGGAAACGAGCGCAATTGTACTTTTAGCCAGAAAATAAATGCTTGGGTAATTCTGAGACACTCTGTATTAATTGGAGGAATAGGACTTAGGAGGAAATGCGATTGCAAATCGACCCACATCCCTGTGTTAGCCAATGACGCCTTTGGGGCCAAGGTTGGGGGGTATTCAGTTTAGCCTTTTTGTTTTTCTGTGATATCTCCGGCACCGTGAAAGATATTGGCTCCTTCAGATGAGTGCCTACTCCAGTCACTACTTATATCCAGTAGCCAGTAGCCACTCAGATGATTTGGGATCAATCAGGTGATAAGCGTACTTTCAGACGACCAGGGGCCCCCAGTCGACCAGGGGTTCCCAGGCGACCAGGTCCTCCAGATGACTAGGGGCCCCACTGCCCCAGGCGACCAGGGCCCTCCAGGCGACCAAGGGCCAATGCGATCAGGTCCCCAAAGCGATCAGGGGCCCCCAGGCGACCAGGGGGCCCCATGCGACCAAGCCCCCGGCTACCAGGGGCCCCCAGGCGACCAGGGGCCCTCTAGGTGACCAGCGGCCCTCAGGCGATCAGGGGCCCCCAGGCGACCAGGGGATCCCAGGCTACCAGGGGCCCAAGGCGACCAGGGTCCCCCAGGCGACTAGGGGCGACCGGGGGCCCCAGGCAACCAGGGGCCCCATGCGACCAGGCCCCCCGGCTACCAGGGGCCCCCTGGGCGACTAGGTACCCCCAGGCGATCAGGAGCCTCAATATCATGCAACCAGAGGCCCCCATGCGACTAGGGGCCACAGACTATCAGGGGCCCATACGACCAGGCCCCCGGCTATCAGGGCCCCCTAGGCAACTAGGGGCCCCCAGTCGATCAGGGGCCTCATGCGACCAGAGGCCCCCCATGCGACCAGGGCCCCCTAGGCGACTAGGGGCCACAGGCTATCAGGGGCCCCCATGAGACCAGGCCCCCGGCTACCAGAGGCCCCCTAGGCGACCAGGGGCCAGGAAACTGGGGGGCCCTTGGATGACTTTAGGGGCCCCTCGGATACCCAGGGCACATAAATGAAACTTTAATATCAATTTTTCTTCCGAGTAAAAGACGTTTTATCCAGTGTTCAAAAAATATCCTGGGGCCTGAGGGGCCCCCTGAGCGCCTTCGGCGCTCAGGGGGGGGGGCCTTGGCCCCCGTGGCCCCCCCCCCTTGGGTACGTCACTGATAGCTGCCCAGGTCTTGACTGCTCAGGCCGCAGTGCTGGGATCGGAGGAGAGCATACTTGTATATCATTCGTCAGGTCTCCTGAGTCCATTGGTGACTTTCCCGACTCGCCAGCGAAGTGTGATCAATAGTTATTGACGGAAAATCCGATGACCTCAAACAAACTTGGTGACGTTATATATGACACCGGGTACCTACCTAAGGTCCCCAATGCGGAGCCTTCAGATCATGGATGTTGCTAGGATTATATGAAATCACGATTCCAGGTGCCTGAATCCTGAGATGTCGTTGCTCATTCCAGGCGCCAAAATACCGGGTTTCAATATTGCTCCCATGTATTCAAAATAGTGAGGTCACGTGACCGACCTGACCTCAGGTTAATCTGAGAGGTACCTAATCCGCGATAAGACATGCTTTGACGGAAGCTTACTAGTTACTGCTTCTGAAAGTTTCATTTCCCTGCTAAAGATCCCCTCACACTGAGGGCGTTGAGTTGCGATTTGTTCATATCGTGCAGATGGTGTCGTGTGTTACTGTGTGTTGGACTACCGACCGTGTAGTGTGCAATGCGCATACGTTCTATTCTTCCGCATGGCGTCGCTCGGTAGCGGATAATTGATTCTCCGTTGCACACCCGACCGGCGGCAATCTGATGCATGGTTACGTAACCGCCACCCGGTGCCAGGAAGTAACCGTGCACCTGCAATGTCCTCAATGGATGTGTTGGCTTCTTACAAGAAAGCACAGCACACCCATGCTAGCGGTGCTAGTGTCCCTTCTGCAGGGTTACGGCGCAACGTCGCTTCTGGAGTAGGTATTCAAGTTTGTTCCTTTGTTTATAAACTCTAGCTTGCCATACGGTTATCCCTGGTATGATTGTGATATGTTATTCTCTTCAAGTTTATCGTCCTCTCCAGCATGTTATTCGTTAATCGAGCCGAGCGCAGATCCTGCTTGCGAAGAGGAGAAGGGAACATAAACACACCGCGGTGTACTGTACAGAGCTGGTGTAACCTGCAGCTCTAAATCCATACGCCGCGCGGGTCCGGTTATGTAATGCCTGGCGGCGGAGACTGTGCCGCTCGCAGGAGGCGCCTCAGTGGCCGCCGACGCGTGTTCACAACACCATCCGACTCTGAGCCGACCACTGCACCCGGTGAGTGACCCGGCCCACCTCGCGGGTCGCCCGGTGGGGCCGTCTGCGGTCTCCCCCACGTACCGCCCGCCGGTCCCCGACCGTCTGAAGGCTGTGTGTTCTCCCGTCCGTCTCCCGATCGCTGATTGGTCCGCCAGCGATGACGGATTAACGTACGTTGCTTGCTTTCAAGTGGTCAATGTTGCAGACACTAATCAGCCAGTGTTTGGTCTAATCCAGGCTTAATTCATAGGCGGACGTTTATTCACTCGAATATATTTTGAAGCAAAGCTCGGTACATAATAGGCGTAAGCGTTTAAAGTTGTGATTCCCAAAAGTGCTTGAAAAAGAGCGGGATAGACGGATTCATTGCAGAGGGGATATTGAGCATTGTCGAATATCACATACCGATTTTCGATGCTTTTTTGTTCTGAAATGTCACATCATATGAACAAATCTATCTTAATAATGCTACAAATATGAAGAGTTATCGTGCACGTAGCTGCACGATAGCATACGTCCACGAGGTAACCATGCAGGTTTCGCGACGTCGTAAAGCATAATCAAACCTGTTTGGGTCGCACCATATCTACACTATACACAGTACCTAGCACTTGGGCGGTGTTATATAACAATGTGCGCATTAATCCAGCCGTTAGAACACCGCCGTCTGTCATATCCATTACCCGCGAGCACCCGTGGAGCTGAAACAGATGCTGATTTGTTCTCCCTTGTAACGATCTCAGTAAGTGCTGCCTACTGTAGACATCTATACGATACAACTTGATTGGAAAGGTCACGGGTCCCTCAGAGGTGAAGAGTGGCCGTGTCCCAATACTATCCCTCCCACGGCCTACCATGGACCACTGGAGTGAGCAGTGACATCCCATTGCCCCACACCCCTGCCGCAGCCCGCCATGGACCACTCGGGTCCGCCGGGGGTGAACAGTGACACCCCATTACCCCCACGCCCCTGCCGCAGCCCGCCATGGACCACTCGGGTCCCCCGGAGGTGAATGTTGAGCAGATGCGACACCCGTACAAGGACAAGCGCCAGGCGTTCACGGAGGACCAGCTGGTGGCACGCGAGCCGTTCGGCCAGTTCCGCGACTGGTTCAACCAGGCCTGCGCCACGCCGGCCATCCTCGAGCCCAACGCCATGTGTCTGTCCACTGCGACCGCCGACGGCCGGCCCTCGGCGCGCTTCGTCCTGCTCAAGGGCTTCGGCCACGACGGGTTCCGCTTCTTTACCAACTACGAGAGCCGTAAGGCGGCCGAGCTGGACTCCAACCCGCGCGCGGCGCTGACCTTCTACTGGGAGGCGCTGAACCGCAGTGTGCGCGTGGAGGGCTCCGTCAGCCGGCTCCCCGAGGACGTCTCCGAGCAGTACTTCCACTCGCGGCCCATCTCGAGTCAGATCGGCGCCGCCCTCTGCCGCCAGAGCGTGGTCATCCCCGGCCGACAGATGCTGGAGCAGCGCGAGGAGGAGCTGGCGCGGCGGCACGCCGACGGCAGCCCCGTGCCGCGACCCAACTGGGGCGGCTACATCGTGCGGCCGCACACCGTCGAGTTCTGGCAGGGACAGTCGAACCGCGTCCACGACCGCATCCGCTTCCGACGCGTCGACGAGAACGGGGAGAGCGCAGAGAACGGAGAGAGCGAGGAGAATGGGAGCAGCAGCGAGGACGGGTCCTACGTGCACAAAGGAGAAGACGGCTGGGTATACGAGCGCCTCGCCCCCTGAGTCTGTCCTTGTTTGAAGAACGACTGCCGCACAGGTAAGGCGATCTGAAGGAAGTGCGTGAGGCTACTGTATCTGTCCTGTACGCAAGGATGTAACTATGTCTTACATGATGTGGATATTCCTGGCGCTTTCCGAGTCACTACGGGGCCCTTTGTGGTGTTAGGGATGGTGCTGGTGCCTGCTCGACTATGGTGGTGGTGATTGTTGTGGTGACGGTAATGGCTGACAGTATCTGCACACAGGGGATATACCTACTTCATATGGCTGACAAATAACTGGCTTCTGCGTATCTGTCTCCGTGTCATCGCTATTTCGGGCGGTTGTATATCAGGAACAAGGTGGCGATCCTAACTTTGAATAACAGTCATTGATTGACTCTGCATTAATAGCCATTTAACCGTGCCATTTATGTGTTACCGTAGCTCTTGTGACAATACAAGTAAGCTCGATCAGTCGTCACTAACAAAGTATTACAGTACTTTTTGAAAATAACCGAGCTGGACTCAACCGCAAATGGCGTTGAGCACCTATCAATAGTGTTTCCAGTAGCTGACACTCGTACATACGCCAAATGTTAGCCAGCTTTTCCCGATAAGGCACGTTGTATGTCGGCAAGTCCGCATTCGGTGCCTGAGTGTTGTGGGCTGTTCAAAGGTGTGTCAAATGTCGATAGATTCGTACCTCACAAGTTGTCTCCTCTGGATAGTGGATGACTTTATTGTCAGATATATTTTCGAATAGTCACTGAAATATTCATACCCAGCGAAACTGCTTGTCAGATCGTATATGTGAAAGCATAATAAAAACATTTAGACTGAACACCCTGTTTTGTGTATCGAGCACTTTACATAACGTGAATGTATATCAGATCTCGCATTGGAAATGTAATGTCGAGGGCGGAACGCTCCACATAAGCACAGACGTATGTACATCCAGACACACAAACACTCACACTCGCCGCCAGATCAGTCCACACTCGGTGAACCTTGACACACAAATAAAAACGGGGCTCGGCCGCGGCGACTCTGGTCCCGGCCCCGGACATCTCAGTCTGTTCGGGGACCGGGGTCGGTCGACAAAAACAGCCGACCTTAGCCGGGCGCGGCTCGGTCGGGGCGCCACCTTCCGGGCGGGGTTGTTCAGCTGAGGCTGTACCGGCACCGCTCTGGTGACCCCGGACACCAGCTGACGCCGCGTCTCTAAGTAGTGTGACCGTGACACGGAGATAACCCTCCCCGGCCCCGCCTACCCTCACGTGACGGCCCTCCTATCCCCACCGCCCCCCCCCCCCGACCCGTCTGTCCCCTCCCTCTCAAACCCCGCACAGCGCTCAGACCTTCTTGTCGAGTGACAGCGCCGCCGCCTTGGGGTACTCGAAGGTGCCCATGAACAGCATGGTGTGCATCATCTTGTCGTAGATGACGTACATGAAGGGGTGGTCGCAGATGAAGGCCCGCGGGCTGACGGGCCGGCTGGTGCGCATGGTGATGAGCGCCGTGGCAGCGGCCGCCTCGGCTCCCTCCTCGTTCACCTCGAGGAAGGTCTTGTGCAGCGCGCTGCCCAGCACCAGGTTACCCGACTTGGAGAAGCCGTTCAGGTTAGCCGCCGACGCGTTGAACAGGCTCTCGAAGCCGAGCTCAGACAGCTCCTGTTGATAGACAAGGGTAGGGTCACGGCGGCGATCGGGACAGCGAACATTTCAGGAAGGAACAGAGTCAGCAGCCGAGTAAATAATAGAGCAGCATGTTCAGGGGCAATAAAAGGCCAGGCTAAGGAAATAGTTCATGTACCGTCATTCCACACTAAGTCCGCCCTTTTTATACGAATCACCCTGCTCCCTCCACTCTACCCTACTCCCTCCTCCTGTTCCACTCACGTCGCTCATATCGTAGTTCTCCTCGATGCGGAACTTGGGCACGGTGACGTTCTTGATGTCCACCTGCCACAGCATTTCGATGGCGTTGCGGAACACCTGCGGCGTCAGCCTGGAGACGGTGTGGTTGAGCGCGCCGTCGCGGAACGGCGGCAGCAGCAGGAACATGCTGATCTGTTCGCCCAGGTAGGGCAGCTCCAGGACGTGCGCCTGCAGCTCCTCAGAGACACCTGGTGGGCAGATTGCGAGATGAACGGAGTGCTATACACGGGCCGGTGCAGCGACGGCGTGCTAAGCGATGACGGCATCGTATAGGCGATTTTATGTCACGCTCTAGTGTTATCGCAGGAGACGAATTTGATGCTAGTCGTTATCTAAATTGACGGGTCAATGAACGAAATTCAATCAATCAAATGAAATTTGCTACCTCCAGATCTAATTGAACTCTTCCAAGATAAGTTATGGTTCTCTATGAAATCGGTATCGGAAGAAAAAAGGCTCATTTTCCAATTCAGATTTCCGTCAGATACAATTTTTCCGCCGGCCGTTCAATGTCCGTCACGTCCAAATAGGTATCGTCATTTACCGAAGTTGAAGGCGCCGCTCTGCGTCATGTAGTTGACAAAGGTGAATTGCTCCTTGGACGAGTAGAACAGGCCCAGCTTGGTCTTCTCCGGCTTGAACTGCGAGTACCACGTGCCCTTGAAGTAGGCAGCGTTCGCCTGAAAATAGCACATGGCCGGGTGATGACGCTGCCTGGACTAACTGGCAATCGTCGGCCCCGACAAATAGCACAGCACGGTAAAACCGAATAGCATTCGCTCAGCGTTTATGGGCCTCCTCCTGTAGAAAGGAAGTAAGACTGTATAACGTGCACGGATACGTCCAACTCCAAGCTTGGAACAGATAACCACACGCTCTTAGCATATAGAATACCTACTGCGAAACCTTGCATCACTGGCCGTGCAATCGTCACACTCCCTAAAATGACCTCGCCCCCGGGAAGACTGTCTAGTGTCTACTCACCAGGACCATGCGCGTGCTGGCGTCCACGGCGCCGGCCGGGATCAGGTTCCTGATCCGGTTGGCCGTCTGGGTCTCCACCCACTGGTTGATAGACTGGCGAGCCTCCTCGCTGAAAGGGAACGACAACGGTGGTTATTAGTCGCTGATAGTCGATTGTCGTTGATAGTCGCACCTGACGTGGGAATTTGAACTGAGGTGGGTGCCTCACTGCAGAGTTTATCCGAATCGAAAGCATTTTAATTCGAAAGCCGTTTCGGCACGAATAGTTACCAAGGGCAATTGCGCTACCCCGTTAAAATCCTTGTGATTTGTAGGTAATCGCAGAATGGACGTCGAATATTGTTGGCGGAGTAAACGTCGAAAAGCAAATCCCTAGAGTAGCCGAGCATAATTAGTATGCGAAGGCGTCTCACCTGTGCTTTCTGAAGTCGAGCATCTCCAGTTCGTCGTGGAAGAGCTCCGTCATACATTCCTTCACCTCCTCAGTCTTGTCAAAGTACAGCCTGAAAACAGCGAGAAAAAAATATTAGCAGGAACCGAGGTTAGTGCTAAGCGCGATGAAGTATTGCCAACAACTATCTAGTATCTACGGAGTGTCAGGGTGGATGCCTACTAGTCTACTGTTTAAAAGTTTATAAAGTTTAAGTCTGTAAGTTTGCACACCGCGGATGTGGGCATGACATGAATGAGCTAAATCCTCCTTCGCAACACCGAGGAAAATGAGATAATATCTTTGCTACTGTTTCGTAACCAACTTAGCTTGTTTTCCTGAAGAGCTGTTTCCAAACCTCACCCAAAGCGGTCATTAAACCGCAGCAACCTATTTCTACCAGACTGAGGCGGTGACTAACTTTTCAGTTTACCGGCATAAGCATGTGTTTCCGATACTGCGAACCGTTTCGTACCGTAGAAACGAAGAGCCACGATAGCCACAATGGAAACACTTCTTAAATGGGATCGGTACATCGTGCATATAAATAGGCGCAACTGGTAATCGAATAAAGCTTTGTTAAAATGATGACATTTTGTCAATAAATGAGATTCATAACAAGCGAACAAAATGAACATAAACTCTTTTATTTAAATTTCGCCATTTACCACCCCACTGGCCGCCGGCGCTTTCATCGAGACCGCGCTGGCCGAAGCGGGCACGACGTTTGTGTTCATAGATGGCGCTACTGGTAAACGCCTGAATGTATGCTGTACCGCATTACACTATGTACTTACACACCGCGTTCGCAGGCGCCTGCAGGGATGCTGCACCGCAATACAACATACGTGGGAAACATTCTAGATTGCCCGTTGCCCTACCTGTTGGCGACACGCAGCGTGTTCTTGTCGGTCTTCTTGTCGTCCATTTTGCGGATGTCCTGCCAGAAGTGGATGAAGCGGAAGGCGCGCATCACGTCCACCTTGGTGAGGTTGGTCAGCCCCATGGCCTCCTCCATGGCCAGCAGGGTGTCGCCCTCGGCGCCGAAATAGGCCAGCGACAGGGCGCACCACAGCGAGTGTGGCGAGTAGAACACGTTACGGTCCTGCCGGATACCAGACAGAACGCCGAGAGTGAGTGAAGGGAAAACGTTTTGACGTTGGCAGTTGTATACAAGCTAGGCAGTAACGACTTACATGAAAACGTATATCGATAATGCTCGACATGAGCCCCGTCTCGACTGTTCGGGACAGCCGTCAGCCGACTGCTGAGAGATCTATGGAGTCAGACGTCTGGCCTTGCTGGGAGTTGTATCGACCCGACCAGTCTAACTTCAAGGGCAAACGGAAGGTGACAAAGTGGCTGATATGCGGGCTTTCGCAGTAATTAATGCTGATAAATGCAAGGCATGGGTGTTTGAAAGGCATAGGCGCCAGCACAGGATACACGAAAGTGTAATACATGTTGACCTCTGATACGGTCAAAAACCAAAACCAGGTAACGAACATGCAGACACTTAAATATAGGACAGCCACATAGGCGCTTTAATTGGCTTAGTGATCTGAATGAGTTTTACCCTGGCTTGACACCACGCGCCTGTTTATTCTCAAAACGTCAGACTAAGCGTTCCGTTCCGGTGTTTGACAGTGACCTCGGGTGAACAGACACAACTACCACCAATAGTACCGAGAACGGGCAGCTGGGTCAGCGTAAGTTCCGGCTGTGACGTCAGGTGACCTATGGACCCCTTGCTGTCCACACATCCTCCCTCTCTCCCTCTCTAACACCCTTATCTCTCTTCCTGTCCGTCCTGGAACGACTCACGCACGGTAATTACTACGAGTACCGAGGTCAACCTTCCCTAATGCGACACAGAACAGGCCACGAAGATGAGTGGATGACGTGGGTGCCGAAAATGCGGAAATGATAACACCGGAAGTGTGTGTGTGGGGGGGGGGGGAGTTCGCGAAAAACGACGCGTTTCGCTGGAACGGATCTAATGATTGGACAGGGTATACGAGTTTCAAGGACGTATGATGATGGAATAAAGCTGACATGAAAATAAGGCGGATCATAAACATTGTACAGCTTTGCTGATTCGGGGAGTAGGAAGTAACTACGTGGTAATAACACACATTCGTCGCAGTCAGCTCATCGTTTCGAAGGCTGCACCTATCGAAAGACCAAACTTTGTTTCCGTTTTAAGCAGAACAATTCAACATAAAAACGTATTTCAAAAGGGCATCGTGATAAACGGGAACGAGCACTAAGTATTTTATCAGTCCTGATCAACCTGGCATCCTGAATTAGCATTGAAATAGGTCAGCATCGACTATCAGTAGGTACCTATTCCCTAAACCAAGCTAGAAATATCAAATTCTCTCATTTTCTCCACATTAAATCCTCAGCCGGTTCAGCCTATCTCGGTTCCCCTACCTCTGCCAGCGCTGAGGAGTGCAGTCTCTGGAACAGCCGCATGGCAAAGTCGTGCGAGCCGCTGATGTAGATGGCCTGCGCGTTGGTGACGTTTGTCTGCGTGTCGTCGCTGGTGAGGCACTGGGCGTGGCTTCCGACCACCATCGCCAACAGGGCGGTCACAACCACCAGCAGATTCATCTTGGGCGGCGCGGACTCTGGAACAGATAGAGACATGGGTAAAGACGACATCCTCAATGGTGAATACAGTGCCTGTTACACAAAGAACACGCGGTGATCGATTTCATCCTCTGAGGCGTGGTCTCTGTAACGTATACACAGACACATGCAGAGACGATGACCCTGGAGTTATTCCCATCGCGCAGCATCTGCTACAAAGACATGCACACATGGTGACTGCGTCATTCCCATTGGTATACGGTCTCTGCACCACCTGGCACATTGACTCACCCACACGTGACGGGTGATGCGGGCTGATCAGCGGGACAGAGAGCGGATTTTGACACACAATCGACCCCGAGGTAGGCACACTCAGGCACGGTGAGGCCAGGATCACGTCATCAGGAGAGGCCGACACCGTATCATTTGCATTGCATTGATTTTAGATATGCACAGAGGTGACATCCAGGTGCTTTTCCAGCTCCCCAGACCCCGCTGACGGCGTACATAGACGTGTGATGGCAGAACGTCACGCCCTGAATCATGCGTCACGCGCCACACTGTGCAGTGTGCAGTTTAGACTCCAGTCGGTTGGCCGCAATCCGTGCAGTCGTCACACTCTGGTAAAATCGACCCACCCCAGCCCGCTCGGACCGTCTCGTACCGGTATACGGTGCAGCCCAGCGGCTTACAGTCACGTTCGAAAAAGGCTGACCGAGCTACTGCGCTGCGGTGAGCAAGCGGCCAGGCGCTCAGAGAAACGGTAAGCCGGGGCCTCAGACCTGCGGAGAACAAAGTCCCACGGTTGGAGTGAGGTGTAGCCTTGAGCCTAGGTATGAGGCTGACCAATATCAGAGGAGCGCAGTCAAAACCATCTCTGCTGACTATGGTTGGTGGCCAACCACCCACTACCCGTCCGGTAGATGACAGACACCATCTGTCTGTAGACAGACAGACAGATGAGTTTGCTGACAGACAGATGATGTAACAGGCCGACTGATTCCGACGCCCCCTAAGGTCATCATCAACCCACGGCCCACGGAAGAGATGGACCGATGTCCTTTACTGGCAGTGAGGCACAGCCACTCCGCGGGGGGGGGGGGATTCAGAGGGACGGTAATGGAGCCTAGCCAGAACTGCACGCACGCACCCGGGCAGGCTCGGTCCCGGGGGTTTCCGCGTGGCCTCCCGTCGTCCCTGCGATGTTATACGGACCGTGACCGGTCGGTAAACGACACTGCTGTGCGTGCGTGCCGCCAAACTGCTCACTGAGAGCTGCTATAGCGGCTATTGAATAGACCCAGCGGACCATAACAGACTCATAAAACATCCATTAACTAAAGGAAGGAGCGCTGGGTAATGACACTAAGAAGTGATCAACAGGGTAGCCGACGCAGGAAGACTCGCACTAACGTGTGACTGCTAACCAGTAGGTAGGAAGGCATCTGTCGAGGTGGCTATTTATCGATTGAACACTGGCAAGTATCACCGCCATGCCTAACAGCATGTTGTAATGTATGCGGTGGTACCCGCATGGTGGATCGACATGGCTGCGACTCGGCTGTCATTCGAGTCGCATTATCACTATTACCACGGTACCGTCATCGTAGGAAGAACTGCGTTGTGCAACGTTTATGCCGTAATATTATTCTCGGAAATGGAACTTGGAACGACAGTCGACCGGCAGCGCAAGGCAGGGATATTCGATCATTTGCCGAAATAATGTCCCAGGCTGTAACAAATATCAACATCAAAGAAGATTTAATAGCTAATTTATTTTGTCGTTTACCGTTATAAAAGATTAAGCAGGAGCTTGAGTTGAACAATCGGGGAATATCGCCTGCAATTATGATCATTGAGCTTAAAATTGGGCTAATGACTAAACAATAAGGGCAACAAAATACAGGAAGCCGGGACTAAAATAAGTGCAGCAATACTACCTTCATGAACAGGTTGCGAAATATAGTTGCCATTTTTATCGCAAACATGATATGTAAATAAAATAAAAATGAATTAAAAAACTCAATGAGTTTGCGGCCAGTTGAAGTCACTGAAAGAAGCAAAGCGTGACATGTTGTGCAACCACGCGCAGTTTTACTACTGTTCAGGTACACATTCTGACAGCTACCCAGAATTTCGACAAAGACCAGGGTCTTTCCAATATGATCTGCTGGTTTGAAAGGTACATTTCAATTTTCAATAATTTGTCATTTAACAAAAGGAGTGATAGTTTTTTTGGTCGTTGACAACAAAAATATATTGATATGATAGACGGCTTTTCCGAGAATGTGACATCATCATATGATAAACGTTGACAAGTTTGTTGGCTCTCTGACGTTGTCCGCCGACGGGAGGTATACCGGTTAATGTCAAGTGTCGGCAGTTCAGTCCGGCATGGTGCGTATCCGGGTCAGGGTTAGGGGGCCGGTCTGACCGACACGCTCCTGCACCGGCCGTAGGACAAAGACGAGACGCCGAGCTGCCGGGCGCAGTCGAGAGCTGGGCGGGCGGCAGAGAGGAGCACAATTCTAATACAATGCTAATAATGTTCATGTTTTCAAGAATTCAGGCTGTCCCTTAGCATATGTAAGATGCAATGTTTCTGCCGGCCGGACTTAAATGCTAACTATGACACTGCAAAAGTCGTTCTCTCTAAAATTTACAAAAAGATGCACCTACATATATAAAGACCTTGCTCATTGCAGCCGGGCAGTTTTGATGAGAAGAAGAAAGACGACGTACCCTTCTGAACAACTCTTCTAATTGTCTGCGCGCGAATACCACCGGCTGGAATACACCTAGCTGGCCTATCCAGCCGGCAACACAGCGGCACAAAAGCCCCTCGAGTCCCGACAACACAATGGAGGCGGCAGCAGCTGTTGCAACTGCTTCACTCCGGCCACCACTCCGGGACAAGGTCGGGTGGCGGTCACCGTCCGTCGGGCTTTGTGCGCAGTCGGGAGACCATCTATCCGTCTGCCACTACCCAGGAGATGCGACTGTGTGCGTTCGGGCTTGAGTGTGTATGGGCGTATGAGCGGAAGAATTGAGTGCGTTGCTTGGAGCTCGGCGGCAAGCAGCTCTATCGACACAGTCCACCACGACCTCTGCGAGCGTGTATCCGAGGTCCAGTCCGCGTAAACATGTCAGAGATCTGTGTGCGGTACTTGATCTCGCACAGTGCCGTACTATCCCGTATTCTAATAGACGCTGTGTAGATACATGAAGCTTGCGCCACACACAGACACGCAGACACCTTTCTTACACAATATGGGACGGTGAGTATAATATGGAAATATTCAGTTCAAAACACTGCATTAGCACCGCCACGCCAGGACGACATGTAAAAGGTTCAGACGAAACGCGTTGCATCAAACCAGAAGGATGGTAAAGGGGAGAGGCGAGAAAACTTCCTGATGTTTAACCAAAGAACGGAGAACCACTCATAATTAACGGTCCATGTAGGAAAAATAGACTCGTACATCATCAGCAATTTAGCCGAAACAGATGAACAATAGCATCTTTCATCATGAGTGGATACCCTCGCATCATATTCGGTCAGGTAAAAACGGGCCTCATGCATGAGTAGTATCACTGGCAGCAGGAAACTAGCCAAGGAAGCATCGGCTCAATCCATTTTGAGACGGATTCGAGCCCACATCCAGCGCACGAACCCGGTGGGCCCGGATACATGCCGGTTGCAAAACGGTGCCTACCCAGGCGCAGCGCGCTAAACCGTGGCGTAACATGCGCACGAGGCGTTTCGTGGCGCTGTTGAGACACATCTCCACCTTCCTCGGTCTCTGTTCCACATGAGGTCATTCGGCGGTGTTTCAATATCCGCCGCCCGGTGAGGTAAGCTCCGTACGTGTGGTTCCTGCGGGGAGTGTGTCCTGCAGTATCCCGGGTAAGTATCCGGGAGCAGCGCCAGGTCCTGCTCAGAGGACACCCGTGTCAAGGCCAGCTCAGGGTCAGAGTCCCGGACCTCAGACGGTCAGCTGATTAGTCAGCTGATTACGCCACGACCGGCCCAGTCGAGCACGTGCTTTCTCTTTCCGCTCCTTTCACTGGACGGACGGCGCGGGCGGGCGGTACGGTGCGGCCAACGGAGGCTCGGTCTCGACACCGGCCGCCACCGCCGGCGACCACCGCAGCAGCCGCTCCTTCATACACGTCCACGACCGCCGGCCGGATGCAGTATCGCACAGCCGCAGCTTTCACCTCGCCCACTTCACCACAGTCTTATAGCCACCACCACCGCCACCGGGTGACAGCCGGGCCCGGGTGACAGACAGATGTCCACCGGAGCAGAGCGGCCAGCTGGAGACGACTCCGTGCACCGATCCTGTACCCGGATGTGTGCGTCGCACCGCCGAGCTGCTTTCTTTCTCCGAGATGGGCCGATTACCGACAATAGGGGTCGGTGGCGCGCGCACAATGGTGGCGGTTAGACTGAGTGATAGCGATTGCCGCTCGCTGCAGATGCGGGACAGGGATGGTAAGCGTGGCGATGGCGGTAGCCGGTAGGAGGGGTGGCAGGCCATGGATGCGGGTCATTATTTAGCATTCACGGAGTCGCGACAGCTGAGTCCCAAACCGAATGGCAGTTTTCGTGAGCGTCCGAGCCCTCGTGCTATATGTAAGCTACTTAAATTGCTATTTTGGCACTTAAGAATCTTCTTATCCCGACCTAATTTTAAAACTAAGCTTTGGAGTAACATTAGGGTCGTTAGCCCGAGACAATGTAATTAATGAACATGACCTCAATTCGTTGCATGGTTTGCAGACCGTGCAAAGCTAATAAATGGAGCACCGGGCACTATGGATTATTACAACAGGTCCGTAACTGCAAACCGCTTCGCATAGATAAGCTGTCGGGAAAGCGATGAGACTGCACGAATGAGGCCACCACTTAGCAAACGGATACATTATGCACATTTTCATACATCAGTGTGTTAACGAAAAACTCTAGCAAAAGCATATCGATTAATTATTAGCCCTTTGGGATCCAACAGAGTGCAATTAGGTGCACCTACTTGTCCAGTAACTGATTCAAAGTGAGACAGCTGCATGCGCCATTTCAATGATTTCAATGATAAAACTCGTTAAAGACGGGCGATGACTCAGGTGTGATACGCTGGAAACATGTAAGTACGTGCAAAACGTGCAAAACGCATTTCACTTTCTCAGAATCGCAACGGAAGTGTACGATGATCCGTCGTGATAGCGCCGTTCCAAAACAGCCCAACACCCTCTTTCCGGAGATCCGACATTGCGCCACCACTGTGTCGCTGCCAGCTCTGACCCATATGTTGCACTCAGCACTGCGCTGCGTTAGGAACAGGGAACGGGGCACGGAGGGAGGGTCAGGGTCACCTTAGCTCGCCCCCTAGATCGGATCAATACGACGAGCCACAGACGTCCGGTGTGGACCCGAGCATCTGCACAACTCCGACCAGTCTGGGTATGGAGATTACCTGGTCCGGTAAATACATATGTAACGAGCCAGGTGACAAAGGGCCACTGTACTGGTTCACTTTGAGGGCCTGACCTCTCCGTTAGTCAATGCGCACCCGCAGATCTGCTGTCCGTCTGTCATTTCCCCGCAGGCCACACGGCGGCTGTTTCAACACAGCCACTGCACCGGCCTGCTCCCACGACCCACTGAGGTAGGGCAGGGGTGGCGGACAGCCGGGCACGACCCTCCCGCGGGGATGATCACCGACTCTGGGTCACCGTGCCACCCCATACACCAGCACAGTCAGAGAAAACCGCGGCATACCGCGTCCGCGGCACATCTCCTTCACTCGGCTCTCGGAGTAGTAACTAGGGCGGAACGTAGACGACCACACGGCGTCCTTCACAGAGACTGGGACGGCGGCACCGGGCGGTGACAACACCTGTAGTCCGGTGAAAGGAGACAGATCCGGATACCTGCGGTCAGCGGTGACATGTCCTTTCCATACCGCACCATACAGCCAGGCTATCCTACCGGTAGGTATGTGTTCGCCTGATAGAATCCAGCTCTGTCCCTTCACACTCACCTGTGTGAATACAATCACCGACTGTTTGTGTCGTACCACTCTCCGTCTAGGCTCCTGTCGGGTCGGCGCAGCGGCGGTAACTGCCGGCCGGTCGGGTCCGCCGCACCGAGCCGCCGCCGCCGCCGCCGCCTCCGGTGACGTCAGAGACTGGCTGGAAATCCATCGCGTCATCCGCACGGCGGGGACAGGTACCGCGGGGAGGGGCGCACACAGCCGCTATTTGAGTTCGGAAGTGGCCAAAATGTGATAACTCGTTAACCAGTTGACATTTTGCCAAGGAATTTTTATTGTATGTGAAGTCAACCGTAAGGTCACATATGGGAACGTATGAGCATCCATGCTGATACATCATTGCCGTAAAAAAAATATTTTTGCTTGTAATCCGCGGATGACGGGTATATCCCATAACGTGGGTGACTCGGGAGGGGATTCTGCATAGCTTCCCTGCTGTCTTCGAAACTACTCGTTCAATACTAAAAGTTCAAACGGCTTCTGATAGGAATAGCTGATAAACGAAACCTAACTTTGTCACAAAAGGTCATGGAAAGGTCATGGGTCACAAAAGGTCATGGAAAGGGTCATGGAAGGAAATGTATACATTTTTAAGGTCATGCGACACATCTTTAATGGTCCATTTCGGCAAAAGCATCTACAAATGATGTCATCTGGGTCGTCCGATTCGAAACTATTTCCATTCGACAAATGAAGGTCAGGTCACGGCGGGGTCAAAAAGGTCAAATTTTGAAGTTGAGCATTATCAACAAAATAGATGTGCATCGGATGCAATTTGAGCTATGGAACACGATGATGCTATTCATTTTGGTTTTCGATGTCAAGAACGTACTGAAATTGCCTTTGCAATATCGAAAATTGTGATAAACTGACTACGGTAAAATGCTTCTGAAGATATCTGACTGAAACTTTCCAAAAGCAATGCAAATGTTACATACAAAAGCAAATGACGTTAAAATACTTTGTGAATGACCTCTCCTTGAAATTGTATGTAGGATATATTTTACAAAAAGTCAAATAGAGAAATGATAAATTTTCGATCACGGATCTTTGTCAAATCACATTCAAAATTCAAAATTCAAAATTCAAAATTCATTTGAATTTTGAATGTGATTTGACAAAGATCCGTGATCGAAAATTTATCATTTCTGTATTTGACTTTTTGCAAAATATATCCTACATACAATTTCAAGGAGAGGTCATTCACAAAGTATTTTAAAGTACAAATGCTCCTTGCACAAGCACTAAGAAGGCCAATGACGTTCATTCTGGTCGATGGCTGCTCCCCAAAACTCTGAATGTTATCAACCATATCGGACATTCTTACGATACCTATTCTGTTGGCTGGATGTCTTTTTGCTTTATTGAATTTGATCAGACTACATTCTGTTAAGACGACGTACATTTATTGGTCACCAGAAAGTATACCCACAAGTCATTCGACAATCGACAACCAACAAATGCAATCGACACGAGCGTCGAGCACCCCTCAGCACAAGCAACTGCCGGGGGCGATTAGACGGACCGCGCTCCTCTCACGCAGCTGATTGGTCAGCTGCCGAACCGCACGGACACGTCAGCTGCACGGCGGCCGCCCGGCCGACCTGACCGGGGTCGGCCTGGCGGCGACCTAGCGTCACTAGAACTGCAATAACTTTTGCCGGCAGTGTGATGCCGACCTAATTTTTTCAGCAAATGAATCACAATTGTACGGTATATGTTATGGACGTTGTTTCGATGTGAAGCACGCTGTGCGTTTTTTGGTAGGCCTATGTAAATATTTGAATCCTCAAGCCCTTCTGCTTTGTGCAAGTGTGCAACAATTAGCTTATAATAACTGATTGGGAAGTTTTTTAGATGCACTTTTGTTACCAATGGATTCCGCACATTTTCCCCTTTCAGCTGATATCTTACTTACGCTTTTTCAAGCAAAGAATATGACAGGAGACTCGTCAACATTTACATGAAAATCGCAGCACAAGTTCGGTCTCACGGAGCAAAACAAAACGATGTTCTTTGGGAGCCCACCAATCTGTGCCAGAATGAGTAATATTTTTTTCTGGATGATATTTTATACAGTCTGATCAATTTACGACCAGAAAATGTGAGAAAATCACGCTTTAAAATTTGTCGAAAATTAGGGTATTGGCCACTTCTGAACCCTGATAGCGGCTGTGTGGGGCGGGGAGGAGAGGCAAACAGGCACAAGGGCGGCTGAGGGAAGATCGCCCAGAGGCACGCGAACTCAGCACCCACATAAAATAGCGGGATCACTGTTAATGGTATCACTCACTCACTCACTCACCCACTCATAGCTCACTCACTCACTCAGCTAGCCGTATCCTATCTTATGTAAGTTATATGGAAGTTACAATTTCGTGCCCGGTTAAAGGTCAGTCCAACCTTCAAATGTATGCATTCCTAAGCGAGGCTCGACCGACCTTGTCCCATGACTCAAATGTCGTCATCCCACTGACCGGATCTCCGGATGTACTTATCGCAGCCCCTCCCAGCACCCATTCTTTACACTCCTCTCAGCTAAACATCCGCGAGAGGTCACCCTGGAACCTCACCGGCCTCAGAAGGTCAAGGCCATTGCGACTAAAAACACAAACACACGCGCACACACAACCTTCTGCAAGCAGCGGTCGACCGGCGGGAAGCCCCAGCTTCTGCGCTGTTCGTGACCCAAATCTCAGTCCGACGCCCCCCCCCCCCCGAGGGGGAGGGGTGCAGGGGACGAGGAAATCCGTCTCCGAGAGGGGTGCGTGCTCCCCGGCAGCCCCTCCGGTGTGATCAGATCGGAGGGAGAGGACCAGGTCACGGTCACAGGCTGCGCGGATGGATCTGTGGTAAAATGGACCTGCTGCTGGAATTTTCAGGGTCAGATGACGGCTCACTGTTGTCATGATTTGAGATGATTGTTGAGAAAAGTGGAAAAAATGCACAAAGAAAGAATCGCAACCACAGGAAGCAGAAAATAATGAGGAAGCAATTAATTTTAAGTGTCAATTAGCTAGCCCCTAGCAATTGATTTAATTGATTTAGGTATGACAGTGAGATGATTCACTGTCAGCACGTATGGCATGAGATAAGATATACGTACCGTGGCCCCCTTTGATTTTTTGTTGGCATTTTAACATTAATAGTCCTATGGGCGTTGCATCAGCATGAAAAGACTGGGAACAAAAGTCGGCAGTCCCCCCCCCCCCTTAATTGAAGGTGTTCCGCCGCTACTGGAAACATAGGTATAACAAATATGAGACGACAGCTGGATATGAGACATGAGATAGATATGCTTGACTGAAGTTAGCCTATTGGCGAACATTTTCTAACCAAAGAGAAGAGCAAGGAGCACTTAAAAGATAAAATTCACTTATTGTTTTCAAACAAAAGAAGCACTATATCTATAAGACTGGTTTTCAACCTTCCGGACATCCATTAAATAGATGTAGGTCTTAGTTAAAGTTGGTTAAGAATAGACGATGGATATTTAGTTTTTCATCTCTTTACAGTGCATTCCGCGCTATGTACAAAATAACAGTTAGCTATTAAATAGCATAAATCATAACGGCGATACAACAATGCATGATCACAAGATTTTGTTCCTTGTTAAAAAATGGAAGAAAGTTATTAAAGCCTTTAATAAGTGCGTTTTAATGGGTAAGACGAGACATTTTTATCCAGTTTTCAGCCATCCATGTGAATTGTGAATATATGCACGCGCGTAGATGCGTATTTATAGCGACCCCAGTGTTTGACAGTCATCACTAATCTATGAAAATTGAAAACTCTAGCTTTTATGAAAAGCCTCATGTATAGGCAAAGGCATTTGTTTCGTGAGCGATCCATCACCGCAAAACGATTTTGTTGGAGAACGGCTGCGACGTAGAAACACTTTTCAGCTTCTTTCTTTCCAAAAGACGTTTTCCGGAAAGTCACGTGAAGGAGAAAGTTACTGGTCGCGATTTGATCAAGGTCAAGGAGCTTATCATCGCTTATACACTGTGTATTGATGTCAAGGTCAAGGGCAGGACAGTTGACAGACAGCAAAGACGGAAACACCACAGAATCGTGACCGCCGACTGATCAAAAGTCTCACTGTTCCGGCGTCATCTGTGGTTGGCTGACCCAAAAACTCGGCTCGCCCATGAACCCAACATAACTGGTTTCTCATTATCGACTTATTCAAGTAACGTTTTATTAGACCTATGTATATAAAAATAGGCAAAGGCATGTCGTTTAACCCGCGCCCCGCTGGGCTATTCAGCCATACGCGCCCTGCTGGGCGGGGGGGGGGGGGGCAGTCTGCCCCCTGTCTAACTTCCGAACCGATGGTCGTAGAAAGACGGGGAAAACGGCAATCGAAAGCTATCAACAAGGCGGATCTTAAGAGACCAATTTTTTTTGCTTAAGTAGGTCAGAGGTCAGGTCAAGGTCAGGTCAAGGGTACAAAATGCAAGTTTCTACAGTATCGGCCTTGCACCGTAGTTGCCGAAGAATGGACTGAGACTGATTGCCCAAAACGTGTTCTTAGACTACCAAGACAATATTTGTTGCATACAATGTCATTCAAAGGTCAAGGTCAGGCCAGGTCAGGTCAGGTCACCAAAAACAAAATATAGAAAAGGACATGTGCGACACATGTTTTATGGGTCATTTTACTCATAGGATTCAATAGGCACACTCAAGAAGTGATATGGACCACCTCTGGATGAATTTCAGGTCGAGGTCAGGTCAAGGTCAGGTCAAGTGAGGTCAAATTTTGAAGTTGGTTGTTAAGGCCAAAAAAGGTGTCTATCTGATGCAGTTTTTCACGGCGAATCGAATGATGCTATTCTTGTTTCCATACAAGGTCTAGAACTTCCAAAAAATCATTTTTCAAAATTTTTGTGTGTCGTGACGTCATAGATTTTTTAATAATTCCCACATTTTTAAACCGATTCTTCTAAAAATTGGTATGTAGGTGCACATAGACCACTTCTCTGACATATATTCCGGTTTTTCCGATACACTCAAAATGTTGGATTTTATAATTATTTTCCCAAAAAAGTCTTTTTTTTAAAAAAAAAGTTTGTCAAAAAAAGTTTTTTTAGAAAAAAAATTGGGCCAAAACACAAATGTTTAAAAAACCGAGATGG